TTAGATTTGTCTGGATAGGAGAAGTTCGTCCACATCTGCTCGAGCCTCTTTTTGTTCTTCACCGACGTGGACACTGACGTCCACCTACCGTTTCCGGCGGACATCTTTGTCATCGGGCTGAGGGGAATCTGCACAATTTACGTCACATGACTGTAGGTTGAAGTTGTACTGTACCCTCAACTTCTAGCAACTAAGGCCGCCTCAAGCTCAGGCGCAGCAACGACCTCCAAGCAACACTCTAGTCACTTTACGCAGTGCCATACAGAGGAAGCCAAGCCTCACTCGCCACTCTACATTCTGGAACTGCCGTAAAGGCTCCCGGAGGGCAACGAGCCGTCGGCTCTCAAACGATGCCAAGCAAGCTTCCTGTATCTGTTGAGATGACACGCCCATCCCATTGACTGTGGGGCCAATCCTCACGATGAGGTGTTGTTATTGTTAAAGAGAAATATTGCACAATTGTTGACGCATAAACTAATACTGAAGTACTGTTTTCTTGACTGTAGGCGTGCACTGCTGGATCGAGATATCGTCCAGGTGAAGGTCGCCAAATACAAGGGCAGAAACGCTCGGAGTCGTACCGTTCTGCTCGGGGCTCTTGCTGGACTTCTTCGTTCGCTTCATTTGCTCCGGAATATCGCGGAGTGCGTTCCTCAGTACTCGTCTCCCAGTCCCACAGCTACTAGGCACAAAGGAAGTTCCAGAGCTTCGGCTTGAGCTGCAATAGTCTGAGAGGGGATGTCCTGGATAGGGACGACGTTTGTCTTCGGGTCGATCGTTGTAAGCAGCACAACGCGAGGCATAGGCTTCTGTTCAACAGCGTAAGACTCGTACAAGGCACCCAGTGCCAAGAATGAGTCCTTCCCGCCACTCCAAAACATGACCACAAGGTCGTTCTGCGCGTCAGAGCCAGCGTCAGCACCTTCGGGCCAGAGCTTTTGGCCACCCGGGGATCCCTTCGCGAAACCGCGTGAGCGACGACGCGGCTGCAGGAAAATATTACCAGCTAGGGTGTTCTTGCGCCGAGACGGGTCCTTGACGTTCGCGTGGCCGTAGGGGCAGTGGCGGCACCCGTTGCCACAGCAAACTTGCCGCTCCGTCAAGATGTACGCTGCCATAACGGAGTAACCCGTGGCTGGATCTGTGTACATGGCCTGCTTGTTGGTGCACGCAGCTTGATGCAGCTCCTCGATCTCCAGCAACTCCGCCGACTTGGTCTCCTCAGCCTTCGAATCCCTCGCAACCAGCGACGTGTCGAAGAGTTTGTACGGGAACGTCGAGTCCTTCATCCAGCCGCTCTCCGGTTCATGCAGCGCGTGCACGAGCCACTCCAGCGCCACCAGAAGCCGCCTCGTCAGACGAGTGAACATGGACGTGCCGTCCACAATGAACACCTTCGGATGCGCTTCAACCTTCAGCAGCGACGTCCACCAGTCCCCGACGCGTCCTTCCAGCAGCTCCGTCTCCGTCTTGTCCAGACTCAGTCCGCACAGTGCCACGACCACCTCGTCCACTTCTCCCCCATCCTCCAGGTCCTCCACCACGTGGCCTCCACGATCTCCCGCATCCAGCCTTTCGTGCCGAGGAACAGCGGCTCGAGCCACTCCACCATCAACACCTTCGCTTTCCTACCATTACTATCTACAAATACTCTCGCCTGCTCCTTCAACTGCTGCAGTCTGCTGTAGTGTTGCTGGGCCATGGCCTCCCTCACCTCCGTCACGCCCAGCGCCTCGCCGAGCTGCTGGAACTGCTTCACCAGCGCGTCCTCCAGGTTGCACGTCACGATCTGCGTCAACTGGCCGCCCGCGCGCAGTTTCGCAGCCCTCAGCAGCTGCGTCATTGGCAGCGCCATTGGGGGGCTGCACAAGTTGCTGCAGTTGCTCGTCAGTGCCGCTGTCCACGGCCGCGCGGACGCTGGAACGCTTTTAAAACCTCACCGGCACAACAGCAACACACAGCACTACATAACCCTGCAGAAACTTAACGATGAGGTGACCCTTCACACCAGCGAGTGCTTCGGCGTACGCAATCATGATGAATTGCATACAAAGACGAAACATTGATTATTCTACGCCCGAATGATTATTCGACGCATCTCGCCGTTCGTAAGGGTGTCACGGACACTACTCGATGCAGCATATTGTCGAGCCGCATTTCGCGGTTTGCCAAGACACCCACAAGCGAGACCCAGTGAAGTCGCGTCATGTTGAGCAAGTCGGAGCTCACCCCCGAAGATGCAGGCGCCTACCAGCGCGTAGAAACTCCTCGCGCCGTTGCTGTCGACGTCAATGTGAAGCCCAAGCGGGTGGACACCCCAAGCTACGGCACTAGCAGCGACTCAGGGGCCAAGGAACTGGACCTTCGTCATGAAATGGTGCACGATGGCCCCACCTCCTTCAACTTCAGCAACTTGTACCGCTACGCCACGACGTTGGACAAAGTTCTACTCGCGGTCGGTATCATCACGACGGGAGCCAATGGCGCTTTGTTCCCCCTCATGGCCATTGTCTTCGGCGATGTATTGACGGGGTTCACTACCACGCCTGTGGACATGGACAAGGTCAACAGCGCGGCTCTCGACTATCTGTATATCGCCATCTTCCTCTTCATCACGGACTACGTCTCGTACGTGGCGTTCTACTACAGCGCCGAGCGACAGATAAAGGCACTGAGGGGTGAAGCGCTCAAGCACATGCTGTACATGGGCATCAGCTGGTACGACGCGCACGACGCGCTGCAGTTGTCCAGTCGGTTGACGGGCGACACGGTGAGGATCAGGGACGGCATGGGCCACAAGCTCGGCGATTCGCTTCGATACTCGATCCAGTTTGTCGTGGGTTTTATCATCGGATCCGCCCATGGGTGGGATATCACGCTGGTGATGGCGTGTGTGATGCCTGTCATGGCGCTCTCGCTCAACTGGATGATCAAGACGTTCACGATCATGTCGGACTTTGCCCAGAAGGTGTATGCTGAAGCAGGATCAGTGGCCAAGGAGACACTGGGCTCTATCCGTACTGTGGCTTCGTTGAATGGAGAGCAGAAGGCAATTGAGAAGTTTGAGAGCAAGATTTTCAAGGCAGAGACGGAAAACATCAAGCTGAACATGGTGGTGACAGTGGTGTATGCGCTGTTCTTGGCTAGTATGTGGATCATGTACTCCGTCGGACTCTGGTACGGCGGGTGGAATGCTTCAAAGGGGGAACCAACGCCGGGGGGTGTTTTCGCTGCCTTCTTTGGCGTCATGATGGGAACAGGTTCTCTCGGCCAGGTTTCCCCGAGTGTTTCCGCTGTGGCTAAGGCCGCTGGTGCTGTTGAGCAACTGTTCGCGATCCTGGACACTGCGAGTGCTATCGATGCGGAGAAGGAGGACGAGGGAATCATTCCTGACACGTGTGAAGGCAAGATCGATGCGGTGAACGTCAACTTCACGTACCCGAGTCGTCCTGACGCCCAGATCCTGCGCGACTACAATGTCACCATTGAGCCTGGTGTGACCGTGGCTTTCGCTGGTGCCAGTGGCGGCGGCAAGAGTACGCTGATTGCTCTGATTGAACGCTCTTACGACCCCACCAGCGGCACCATCTACCTCGACGGACGGGATGTTAAGACACTGAACGTCAAGTGGCTGCGCTCGCAGATCGGCATGGTGTCGCAGGAACCTGTGCTGTTCGCCATGACCATCTTCGAGAACATCGCCATGGGTGGCGACAACGTGACCCGTGAAGAGGCCATCGAGTCCTGCAAGCTGTCGAACGTGCACAACTTCATCATGTCCTTGCCGGAGCAGTACGACACGCTGGTGGGCGAGAAGGGCGTCTCTCTATCTGGCGGTCAGAAGCAGCGAGTCGCCATTGCCCGTGCCATTGTCCGCAAGCCCAACATTTTGGTGCTGGACGAGGCCACGAGCGCGCTGGATAACGAGAGCGAGAAGATTGTGCAGGCAGCGCTGAACAACCTGATGGCCACGACCAACATGACCACTCTCGTAATCGCCCACCGGTTGAGCACCATCCGCAACGCGGACAAGATCGTGGTGTTGAATGAGGGCCACATTGTGGAGAGCGGCACGCACGACTAGCTCTTGAAGATCGAGCACGGCGTCTACCAGAACATGTACCGGATCCAGGAGCTGCGATCTCAGGAGGAGCAGCAAGAAGCGGAGAAGCGTGAGGCCGAGAACGGACTAGAGAGTACGAAGATGACACGGACATTGAGTGGGGTATCGGCTAAGACTGACATTTCAGTGAGCGCGGTGGAGAAGAACTTCTTGGACAAGAAGCCGTTCAACCTGTTTGATTTACTGAAACTCAACGGACTCGCGCGGAACCACTTTGTCTTTGGGCTGGTCGGTTCCTGCGTCGGAGGCATTGCGGTGCCAGCTTCAGCCCTATTAATCACGGGCATGATCACTGCTATGACGGAACAATACGCGCTCTTCGAGAGGACCTGGGGACCGATCTCACCTGACAACGTTGTACAACGACGTAGAGCTGTACGGCATTCTCTACCTCGTCGGCGCTGCAGTGATCGCGATCTTCACGTATCTGCAAATGAACTGCTTCAAGTACATGGAAGAGAAGATCACGACACACTTGCGCACCGCCAACTTCAGGGGCTTGTGTTGACAGAATGTTGGCTTTTTCGACGAGAAGGAGAACGCGACTGGCGCGTTGACTGCTGATTTGGCTACGAACGCCACCAAGGTTTCGCTGATGTCTGGAGTCCCAAGCTGCGTTTACCCAAGCTGTCTTCACTTTGATCGCTGCGCTTGTCATCTCCTTCGGGCTCGGAAGTTGGCTGCTATCGCTCATCATGCTGGTGCTTTTCCCCATGTGGATTTTCGGGGAGGTGGCGCGTATGAAGGAGATGGAAGATGCTGGTTTGATTTCAGATGACTTGGCAATCCCAGGAGCCCACGCGTCAGAAGTCGTTGGGAACATCCGCACGGTTGCCGCTTTGGGTATCGAGAAGAAGTCTGCCACCACGTTTAATGAGCTGCTTCAAGAACCGCTGCGCAAGGGCCGGAAGGAAGAGCAGGTTAGTGGTCTGTCGCTGGGATTCAGCTCCTTCATCATGATGGCCACGTATGCGCTCGTGTTTTGGTTTGGAGCCAAGAAGGTGAACGACGGCACCGTTGGTTTTGCGGAGATGATGCGGACATTGATGGCCATCACGATGTCGATCCAGACGGTCAGTTTTTGCCTCCCGATTCTTGACTGACGGACCCAAAGCGTTCAAGGCCGGATCGACGATTTACGCACTTCGTGATCGCGTCGCCCCAATTGATTCATTCACCTCCGACGGATTCCGTCTAGCCAAGGTTGAGGGCCGCCTCGAGTTCAAGAACATCTCGTTCCGATACCCCGCGCGCCCGGAGATCAACGTGCTCAAGAACTACAACCTCACTATTGAACCCGGCCAGACGGTGGCGTTCTGCGGCCCTAGTGGTGGAGGCAAGAGCACTATCATCTCGGGGATCGAGCGGTTCTACGACCCCGTGGTTGGCGAAGAGCTGCTCGACGGCCGCAACATCAAGGACCTGAACCTGAACTGGCTGCGCAGTCAGATGGGTCTGGTAGGCCAGGAGCCCACACTGTTTATCGGTACTATCGCCGAGAACATCGCGTACGGTCTGGCCGAGCAGCCGAGTCAGCAGGAGATCGACGAGGCCGCTAAGATGGCCAACGCGCACGACTTCATCACGCATTTCCCGGACGGCTACGAGACGCAGGTGGGCATGAAGGGCGAGCAGTTGTCTGGCGGCCAGAAGCAGCGCATCGCCATCGCGCGTGCGATCCTGAAGAACCCCAATATTTTGCTGCTGGACGAGGCCACAAGCGCTTTGGACTCGGAGAGGTGCAGGAGGCTCTGGACAAGGTGGTGGCGCTGAAGCGGCGGACGACGATCGTCATTGCTCACCGGTTGTCTACGATTCGTCGCGCCGACAAGATCTGCGTGGTGAGTGGAGGCAAGATCGCGGAGCAGGGCACGCACCAGGAGCTGCTGCAGCTAAACGGCATTTATGCCAACTTGGTCGAGTCAGCTACTGCTTAGACAGAGACATCCTTTGAGTACTATACAAGTAGATTTGCTTTGGGATTTAGCGTGTCATGCATTTTAGGTTTTGAACGAGATAGTGGTAGCTACTATACAATCTAACTTCGCAAGTGCTAGAGCACTTCCGAGCCGAAATACCAGAAAATGTAAGTTGATGGAGTCGTAGATTTCGCATTCTTAATAGGGTCGCTTAGGTCCAACTGTTGCAATCCTACTTTTCATCATGTGAGGTGTCAGTGTCAGCTGACTGATGCCTTTCAAGGCAGGTCCGCACTAGATTGCAGACCAACGTACTGATATCGGACGCGCGCATGTCATAGGCGACGGGCATATTTCCCTTCATTAGGTTGACAGAGTTAGGGTTGTCCACCGAGTGACTAGAGTGACTATGGCTAACCTGAAACGCTACTTGGTATAGCCCTGGCTCCAGATTCCTGATGATGCCATCATCTCCGATTGAATAGTTTTCCAGCATTGACCAAAACAATTTTACGTTATGCTTGGAAGTTGCCTCCAACCGAATGGTCTCATGACGCTCTGCAGCTGATTCGAGCCCCTCGATGTCGTTCTGCAACCTCGAAATCACTTCTTCGCGACCTGACAAATGTTGCCGGAGGTTCTTCAGTTCTTCCGATGCAGTGGTTAGCTCAGTTTGAAGTGACCCCACTTGGTTTCGAAGATCAGCATCCGCCACTTCGCGTTCCGACAGGTCACGTTGAAGCTTCTTCACCGCGTCTTGCAGCTCTGCTACTATCGTGTTGACTGCCGCGTCACTTCGGAGATCTTTCACCTCGTCCTGTAGGTCGCGCAGCTTGGCCTCGAGAATATCAACCCGCTCGACCGAAATCGGCTCCAAGTCGAACGCGTACGTCAGCATACGAGGGCGCAGCATCGCTTGAATCTTGACCGAGAATTCCTGTTGCAAATGGCTCTCCTCTGTGCTCTGCAGAGATCGTGGAAGCTCACTTGCGTCTTCGACAGCTCGATTCAGTAACTCACGGAAGCACTGCAGTCAGCAGGGTACGTGGATCAACCCCGAAATTTCAATGTGATCTGACGTAATAGTATGAACGCACCTCGATGCAGTCAACGGCACCACATCCGGAATGTAGTTGGAGGGGTTAACATAGTCGATAAGTATTAAGTCGTTCGTGCACCTGCGGTCAGCAGAGATTGATCGGATCGCCCGCGGTATAATATTTGCACAACTTACCACTGTTTCTTGCTTTCGCAGTTCTCGAGCCAGATGCGGAGCTTGCCGCTTCTCAGTGAGAGCGAATAGCGGTAGGGCTGCGTCGGTGGGAGCGCAAAGGTCGTAGTGCCTTCGTATTCGATGCTTTTGTGCACGACGGCCTCGGTGACAGATTGGACCGGCACGCCTAAATTGGTATCTTGAGCAGAGGGGCTGGACAATGCTTGGTTACTGGCAACCTTCGCGAAGCCGGACTTCTACGAAAAACGTCGTGCAAATCAGCCGTTTTGTATGGAATTCAGGGTGCAGCACCCTGAATTCCATACAAAACGGACCGTGCCGCAACGGCAACGGAAATACTCGAGAATCACCTCGTCGTTCTCGTCGCGACACGGGCGGAAGTAAAACCCCGAGACTTGGGAGTTCATGTAGGTAGGGCGAGGGGGGCGGATAGCGCGAACCATGCTGGATGAGGTCTTGGAGGCTTGAGAAGTGAAAATTGAAAAGTGAGCGCTGCCAAATGAGCTGCAACTAGCAACGCAGACAACCAGTGATTCCAGTTCTTCTGAACGACTGGAAGCGAGAAGATGGCTGGTAAAACGCTAACAGTATTATATAAAGGTAACTGTCATAAATTATGTAATATCACAAAGCACATCAATAAATTATCACGGTAGATGGCTGAACCCGCCGAAATGCGTAATTTATTGTTATTTTCTGAAATAATGTTATTGACAATGCTATTTTCGGAGGCCCTGAGGGTGCTCATTGACCGGCGAATTCCACGAATGCGAAAATATCAGGCATACAAACATCAAATGAAACGGCCCATAATGCAAAATGTAGTGGAATTCATCGTGCAGTTTGCACGAAGCATTTTATACCGCATATTTGGTACATCTTGCGAAAATAGAAACGCCGACGCTCGTGTGCAGGTAGCAATGCAGAGCTTCGGCGGTATATGCGGAGATTGGAGAACTGCTGATGACAAGCAAGTACGTAGCTCTGTCGATACGGTAAGTTTTAATTTGTCAGATCTTTTGTCTGAGCAGGTGAAGTAAGTTAAATAAAATGATTGTTCCTTTTCTTCTGCGTTGAGCAAGGGAAACTTTGTTGATTGTCGTAGACACTGCCCATGCACATAGGCCAGCTTTAGCTAAGACCTACTACGTTGATTGAGCGGTAGTTTACTTCGATAAAGCTCCAGCGCGCGTGTAAAGTTCCGCGTGCTGCATTATCGTCGAGTCCACAGCCGATTCGTGTCCGGTCTGGTCGCAGCAAAACTTGAATAGAGCCAACACCGCAGCACCGGTTATCTCGATCGCTTCCATCGCCGTTAGTGTGCCGTTCGAGAGTCTCATCAAAAGCTACCTAGAGCAAAGAACGAACGCCCCGAGCTACTACCAGCGTCGCTGCCCGGGTCCAGCAGAAACTCGTTTCTGAATTGGCTACTTCCGCGTTCAGAACGGCATGGCATTTTCTGAGTCAGAGGTGTAAAACCTCTTCGATATGCCCGAGCTGCCGATGCAACCAAGGGCAGCGGCGCCCTTGTATCCCACGGACCAGTGATGTCTGGCGCCGAGTAAACGGCGATGCCATCGCCCGTCGAGAAGCGGAAGTACGTGCCATCAGCGCGACGGATGATGCTCGGATCGTTCGTGTTCACGCAGACGCCTGAACATGCCTCCGGGTTGACGTACGTATCGGCAGCTGCGCTCCACCAGATGTGTTGTGTGATGCGACGACGCTCGCCCACGCCGCCGTCCGCTGCGCTGCTATCTACGACCAGCTTCGCAACCTTAGAGACGCTGTCCCCGCGTCACGCGAGTCTCTAGGGCTATTATGAAGCAAGGTAGTACTAGGTAAACGTAGTGGGTGTCGACAGAGATGGCCTTCTCCGCACTTGTCACTCGTTAAGCACATGAATCGAGAGCTTTCGTAGATATCTTGCTGAAGAGCTTTGGAGAGAGCTCTCAGCTCTAAGAGCTGAGCTCTTTGAAGTCTCACGTTGAACTCGTCAACGTTGTCAGAAATACCATAGAAATATCATAGAAACGTTTCTATATTTCTTGATTAGCGTCTTGAATGAGTGCGGCGATGGACGGGTCCTAGAAACTATGCCCCAGGATGATCCGTATTCTTAGCTCTTAGCTCTGATGCATGGTTTTATCCATAGAACGACAGATAAGATATAACTGGAACATGAGTTATGATCAACAAAGTTGCTGTGTGTCTTGAGTTTGTGTTAGAGCATGGCAGCTCGAATAGTTCTCCACCGGTGACCAGAAGCACTTACTCCCGCACATGGCAGTTGCCTCCAACTGAATGAATTCAGGACTCGCACCAGTTAATCCGTGGACCTTGGAGCTACACTTTACAGTGCGTTGGGGCTTCATCACTTCGGCCTTCAGTAACTTAACTTGGTGTTGGAGATCTTAAATCACTGCTTCGCGGTTCGACAGACCACGTTGGAGCTTCTACACCGAGTTCTGTAGCTCCACCACTACGAAACCTGCCCCAGCGCCATGCCGAAGATGCTGCACCTCGTCCTGTAAGTCGCGCAGCTTGGCCTCGAGTACATCGATTCGCTCCACTGAGATCGGCTCCAGATTGAATACATAGGTCAGCACGCGAGGGTGCAGCATCGCTTGAATATTGACCGAGAATTCCAGCCGCAGCCGATCATCTTTTGTAGACTGCAGAGACCTTGGGATATTGCTTGCGTCTAGGACAGGGCGACTCAGTAACACTGTTACGAAGGAATATACGGATCAGTATCTTACTTAACGCCATAGCATAATGTACGGACGTACCTCAATGTAGTCGAGAACGCCTACATTCGGTATGTAGTTGGTCGCGTCGACGTATTCCACAAGAACAATGCTCCTACAACACCCAAGGATGAATATTGGGTCAATACCATAACAATTCAAGTGTAAGATCGATTAGAAGACAACATTACCATTGCTTCTTGTTGTCGCAGTTCTCGAGCCAAGCTCGGAGCGTACAGCTCTTCAAAGATAGCGAATAGCGGTAAATCTGCATCAGCTGCGGTGCGAAGGTCGTAGTGCCTTCATACTCGATATTGTCGTGCGTGACCGCCACGGCGACGGGTTGGACAGGCACTGCCGTGGTGGTTCCTTGGACAGAGGCACCGGGTACCGTCTCAAAGCCGGACATCTTGATTAATGCGGTGTTGGGCAGAAAGCTGGAAATTCCGGAGTGACATTGACCGACGAACGTGCCCTAAACATTCTCAGACGACCAAGATGGTGCTGCCAAAGTACTCGGTTCTGGCGGATCGGCTTATCGCACATAAGCCAAGATGGGGAGTCAAGACGCTCGCAACGAACTGGATAAAACCAGCGGACAGAGTATTCTCACGAATAGTGCTTACCGGTAGTCACTGAATTGTAGATAAACCAAAGCAAAATCTGCAGCCTTAGTGGCATAGAAAAAAAAATTATAATCGGACCGTGTTGGTACAGCCAAGGGAACCACTTCAGCTTATCACTGCAGCCTGAGTGACTATCTACCTCTGTCGTCTCCGACACGCACTAATCTAGACAGTCAACTTCGCGGGGAGAGCGAACGTCATGTAACCACTCGAGACGCTGCCATTGACGTGAACGGATACTTGGTCACCTGCACATGGATGATGCTGGACAAAGAGAAAACCATCGGTGCAGCAAATAATGCGGTTGCCTTTATTCAGCTGCATTTTGCCATTGCCACTCGTTACGTGCACCGGAACGTTCACTTGGTAAATGCCTGGATTCAGATCGTGAAAAACTCCGTCGAGCACTTTGAGATGTTCGCAACGCCAGAGAAGCAGTCCTTCAGAGCCTAACTGACTTGTTGCTCGCGCAAGAAAGACGCTTGGAGCTTTTACGGACCCGCACAGCGTCTTCACCTCAGTTCGCAAATCCGAGATCATTTTTTGCATCTCCTCTTGCGCGGAGTTTCTCCCAGCAGCCTCTGCTTGAAGCAGCTTCACTTCCTGTTGCAAATCTTGAAGCTTTGACTCCAGAACATCGATTCGCTCCACTGATACCGGCTCCAAGTTGAAGGTGTACGTCACTACTCGCGACTTCAACAACGCCCTCACCTTCACGTAAAACTCGAGCAGCAAGTGATCGTCTTTTACTTTGCGAAGAGCTCGCGGAGGGTTTTTGACACCCTCCAGAGATGATGAGAGTAGCTCATGGAAACACTGTTCAACATTGTAGCAAGGGTAAGCCCACGAAGGTTTTGTGCACTCACACAAGAAGATTTATACTACCTCAGCGTAGTCGGGCGCACGGGCGTCTGGGATGGAGTTCGATCCATCGACAAATTCTTCTTGGTCCAGCTCTTGTGTGCACCTTAGAAACATCGAGTTAAAACGGAGAAAACATGAGCTTGTAGTTTAATATGTATTGCGCTTGAAAACGGTCTTACCAACGCTTCTTGCTGTCGCTGCCTTCGAGCGTGATTCGAAGTTTTCCGTTGTTTAAGGAGAGGGCGTAGTGATATTTATGTGTCGGCGGAGCAGAGAAGGCTGTGGTGCCCTCAAACGTCCCTGGTGTTTGTAGGGTGGACTTCACCATGCTTACAGCCAGTCCGAAAGGTACCGACGACATAGTGATCGGCTGAGCTGGGTAGCTCGAAGTGATCTCGTGTCGGCGCCAATTGACTTGTGGGAGACCGACACCCCTACTAGGTAGTATGCTAAAAGTGGTGGGGATCGCTATAAAAAGTATTCGTCTTATCCAGGGCAAGAAGAATACGGGTTGATCAAGCAGGAAGCCATGAAGAAGGCCAGCACATGAAGATTCGAAACGGGCTTTACATCTACATATGCATAGAAATCGTAACATTGGTACAAGCTCTGTAGTCTATTCAACATCCCCGATGCGGGTAAACGTAATCGAGGTGCTTGCAACGACTTCGGTGGGGCATTTCACTGTGAGTTGATCGCCCTTGTCGATACGGACAACGCACATGAGGCTGGTAGAGCAGAAACTTCCTTCAGTGTATCCAGAGTAGGCGAACTGTACACAAGTAGAGCCTTTCATCAGCTGAATGGCTTCTGGAAGACGGTCCGCGTGGTGATTGACGACAGCCAATATCTGGTACAAGCCTGAAAGCGGCAACCGAATCACACCGTCCTCTCCAAACACACCATCGAGGTTGCTATTGCTCCAGCGGATGACGTCGCCAACTCGGCTGGTTGCGACCGCCTGGGCGAGCACGAAAATGTCTTTCGCTTTAAGCTGAGCTCGTACATCCCCCAGTATCTTGGTCAGCAAGGCGGCACGTGCTTCAGATTCTTGGCGCAGTTTCTCCACTTCCGCTTTGACAATCTCGATCTCCGCCTGAAGTGATGCGGATTTGTTTTCAACTTCCAGGCGCAGTTTATCCATTTCGATCTTCATGTCCCGCACCTTGGATTCCAGAACGTCAATGCGCTCGACTGAAATCGGTTCCAACACGAATGCGTATGTCATCCCACGGGACTTACGCAGCACCTGAAGTGTTACTGCGATCTCCAACCAGAAGGTTTCGTCCTTGACGCGGCTGAATGTGCTCGCAATCTTGTCAATGCCATCGCCAGCAATATTTAATACTTCACAAAAACACTGGAGAGGACCATACAGTTGGTAAACAAGAAAGCTGCAATAAAGAGGCTTAAATCATACGTGCAATAGCAGCGTCCGGGATGACGTTCGTGGCGTCGACAAAAGCGTTAACGCCTAGTTCAGATGTGCACCTGTGTTGGGATACCAGTTGCGGTCATCAGTATCCAGTCTTCCGTTACCCCATACAATCGTGGTGGTCCTCCTTCAGATGATCCCGTCACTATGTAGGCACATCGTTGCCTCCCTTCGGCTGGCATAACTTCCTCAAGTTCGCGCCGCTTCCTCACAACCTTTAATGGACCGATGCCAGCTTGAACGCGGGAGAAACTGCTTGCTTCGCAAAAGCGAAAGTAGTATCATGCTCAGCGTATTGTACTGTACGTCGTGCTGCCTACCATTGTTTTTTGCTGTCGTAGTCCTCGAGCCAGATGATGCGTAGCCTGTCGTTCTTGAGCGAGATCGCGTAGCGGTAGGTAGGCGCCGGTGGCGGTGCAAAGATGGTGGTCCCATTGAACTCGAGCACGGGTTGCGCGGAAGTCGAGGCAATGGGGCTTGGGGGCATGATGGTGGCGCTTTCAGTGTGCACCAAATCACTTGTGTTGAAAAAGCTAGTAGAAGATGGCAGGCTCTTGCAGTCCCCCTCGCTCCTCATTGTGAACGCTCGTGGATGTTGCGCAGCTCTTCTCTAGTCTAAAGTGAGAACATGCATACTTCGATTTCAAATTCGAAGACCTAAATCAGGAAGGAGGTGACATAAGACTACGAGGTGTCATGCGACATCATTTTTTTTTAATATTGTTTAGCTACCATGATACTATCAGAAAGGTGAATGTCTGGGCTACGCATTGAAACCTACGTCGACACCACCAACGCTGCTGCTTCAGTTTACGTCGAGGCATATCAAATATCACTCATTGTTCTAACATTTTATTTATTTATTTTGCATTAAAGTGGCAGTGTTTTCGTGAGGGATTAAACAGTGCACACGACGGCGTGTCCAGTATTGCGACTTTATTTCAGCAACACTGAGGACGCCCTTCGTTTGAGATTGCGGTCAGAATCCGAGTCATTCGAAAGTCACGAGTGATGGAGTACACATTCGGAATGAAAGCGATATTCCTGGAGCACATTGGCATCCTCAAAGCAAAAGTTCATTACCTCCAAGAAGAAGTTATGAGTCGGCTCAAGCGACTGAAAAAGACAACTATTACGTGATGCACGAGATTCAAAAGGAGCTGGCATCGCTTCGTCAGAATTTATTGAGCCGGGGAATGCCGACTGCCGCCCTACGAAACGAGCTGAAGGTATTCCGCTGCCGAACCGTCAAGTTCAAGCCACAACTAAAGTGGGTGAGTTAATTCGTTGGGAGAAATCAGTGGATGCCCCATAAGTATAATATTCGGCTGAAAGAAGGACAGCAGGTAGACACACAACTCGGAGGGAGCAGCCTGTCGGGCCACCAAGCTAATCTCTTCAAACTAGCTCACCCGCCGTACATTCTCGACAGAAGCCTTAGGCTGTAGACTCCTAAAAATGCGTGAGCAAAGAACATTCACTACCAAATGATGTATTTCTTGAAAGAGCAATACCACGACCCGCAGCTTTAGGGTAGGCATTTTCACAGTGAGCTGATCGAACACGAGTCATGCAATTGAGCGACGTCGATCCAAAGTTGCCTTGAGCGAATCCACAGTGCGCAGATTGAATGCAATCCGGCCTGAATGAACAAGTTGTGCCCCGCTGGCTGGTGGTTCACCACCGCTGTCATTCGGTACGTACCAGGCGCCTTAACGCGTATGATGCCGTCAATGCCGGTCACGCTGGCGTTCAGACCGAATACTCGTGGCTTGCACTGGGCTGACGACGGAGCATTCTTGGGCCAGCTCGTTTGGGTTGGATGGCACATCGCCTTCACAATTCGCCAGACAGCATAATGCTTTCAGCCTTTGGACAAAGATTACTTCGAGTTAGGTGCCATGCCACCAAGAACCACGTTCGAGACGTACTCAAGGACAGAGTTGCCAGTGATTCGCGGATTAGGTACATAAAGCTTGAGCGACTGTCAACTTTGCAGCACAACTGGGGTCGACAAAGATGAAAAGGATTACGGGGTTACTCCTCCACTTCCACATTGTAAAACATGGAAACCTGTAGGTAATTACCTCTTCACACGTTTTGTTGCAGGTCCACCCTCAGGCCCACGGGGTCTTCAGAGAACCCAACTTTGGGTAAATGTTCTTGTTCAAGAACTAGCCAACTTCTCCAACATCCGCGATGTTGATCCCGCAGGGGTGGTCGATCGAAATCCAAACCAGCCAAACCGCTGTCGTGACGACACCAGATGTCAACTGATCCCGTGAATAGGGTGAAATGTCCAAGGTATAATTCTCGAGGCTCATCCCGCGCGCTTCAATCAAATGGGCACAGCGACTTGCAAATTATCTGATATCATTTTCGGATGGTAAGGGTCTGCATACGCGCGTTGTGCTGATACTGCCGTTTTGGCTGATTGCTCGATAAGCTGACCTCAGAGTCCTGGTTGGGATCTGGAAGTCCTGGTTGGCAAGAGGAACTGCGACTAGACGGCACATTGTTGCTGACGACGACGACTTGCTTGCTTGCTTTTTTTTTTGAGAAGCACTTCAGGAGCTGCCCATGAAGATCTACCGTGGTTTCGTACTCCTGGAAAGCGTATGTAAAGTATGTACTACGTTGTAAGCAGTAGCAATGGTAATTGGGACTTGGCCATCAAAGTAAAGTCCGATTTCCAGTGCTGTACTCTGGGAAACGAAAACAAAATCTTGAAAATGTGTCGCTATTCGACAAGTAACCCGCGGCCATGGGAGAATCTCGAGAAGAGTTTATCGTTTCCACTTCTGCAGCCTACTGCACTAGCCTACTGCCTACAGAGATCACCTTACGCATTGAAAAAAAAGTGAAGCTATCAATGTATGGATTAATCAATATTCAGTCGACCGTCTAGCGTAAGATAAGCCCCGTCAAACACAAACGCCAAGTCCTCCGCATTGCCAAGCAAGCGTAACATGGGCGTCATCCAGTCCGACTCGCTGCTCAAGCTCAGAACCCGAGTCTGCTTCCAGACTGAAGCACTTCCTGGCGAAGTCTTTTTCATTGTCCCAGCCGAACACCGTGACTCCACTCGCCTCGAATCGCTGGTCAGTAGCTTCACAGCTAGACTCCTCCCTCGCTCAGATTCTCCCAGCTTCGGGAACGCGTGGCGCAGCATCTCCTCACACAAAACGACTTTGGTCTTCGTCTTGGCGACAATGAAGCCTTCGGGACCTTGTTCCACGTTGGCAGCACGGATCTCGAAGGTCGGTTGCGAGAGGGAGACAAACCTCCAGTACTCCAGCGCCGCTTCAACGCCTCGTCCATTCTCCACGATCACATCTGGAGCCATGGCTCGCTGCAGAAACTCACGGCGAGCGTGCGACTCGTGCAACGTTGGGTAGTTAGGAGAGTTGCAGCGCTCGGATATGGGCACATACGCCGTCAAGGCGAAGCGGAACAGTCGGAACAGGGGTATCAATAAAAAAATTCAATATGAAAATTGTTAATAAATATGAAAAAATATGTATTATTGGCAAGTGCCATATTAAAATTTATATTATTGGCTCGTATGATTTCAGGGCATACAAAAACACAGTCATGATACATGGAATTGAAATATTTAATCAGTATAATAATGATTATTGGCGATCGTCATATTTAAATCACTATTACTGACAAGCAGTTTTACCAATTCAATATAATACTGAATTGGGGGAGCCCTGAGTCGGAAGTACTCGGCCACCACGCTCCAGGGGGTAATCTCAGCGATGATACGTGGAGAGATGGTCTGGTGCTGGAACTCGAGCTTCTGCACTTGGTCTCGCAACACTTGTACTTGCTGCTCGAGAGTGTCGGCGTGGTCCTTGAGCTTCTGTCGGTACCAGATTTGAGTCAAGCGGCGACGCTCTCGGTTCAATTGCGCGGCGTCTTCTTCTTCTTGAAGTTTGCGGGTCTGAACTTGAGTGTCGTGTGCAGGAGGAGGAGCTGGTCTTTTGCCGGTATACCGAGGGATACTCCCATGGTCGAAAGATGTCGTCACGGCGACGCGTTCGTACGGAGATGAAGTCTTGTGGTCAGGGGTCGGAAAAAATAATACAAAAACAATTATTACGGAATTGTTCCACTAAAAGAATTGATTATTGGGAATCGGCGTCTTGCAATGATAATTATTGAGTCTAGTGGGCTTCAATATTTGTCGGTATTTTAATCTACATACAAATGTCAAGATAAAAGGCAAGCTCAATACAATAATTACTGTATTGTTCCACTAAAATAATTGATTATTGGTGGGAGTCGTATTGCAATGATTATTATGGAAGAAAGTAGCCTGCAATACAATTTTATATTTTATTTTTTGGTGGAAGCGCTCGGCCATGTGTGGGATCGAAGACTGACTGTAGCGCGCAGGAGCTTGGTCGAAGCCGCGGTGGGTGGATACTCCGCACCTCGTTGCACCGATCGCTTCGTCGCTGAGCCAGTGGGTGTTGGGGGGATAGAGGGCGCTGCTCATTTTGGGGCCAGAGCGGTGGGAGTGTCCGAGGTCGACTCGGCAAGAAGACAAGTGGACGGAGCAGTCTCAGGGTGAGTGACCGATAGGAGAGAGAGAGAGCTCATAACGCATTTCGTGCTTACGCCAGATGATCACATCCAAATATGGCAGATGACCGGCTTGTGCACTTCTCCCACGGCTGTGACGCCTCATACAGTAGAAGACTTGCAATATTGTACGAAGCGGCCTATGTGCATTGACTGTACTACAGCCAGACCATCGCTTACGTGCAATCACGAAAGTCGTTATCGACGGGGGTTCCAATCTTCTTGCTGGGATGACTGTGCGATTGACGCTTGAAAACTCTTCGCTAGGTGGCGCACGACGACCTCAAGTTGATCTGAAGTTCTTCTCACTGGAGTGCGCCCGAATAGCAGGGTGCTGTCTCAATTAGGGTTGTTTCATGCAGTGCTCGAAAGTACACGAAAGTACTTTCGTGCAGATTCATCAGCCCTTTATTACGGGGATAGCCCATTGAGACATCAATTGCGTCTCTCTACTAAGTACGATTAAAGCTCTTGAAATTACAGGCATAACCCTACCGAAACTGGTGCACGAAACAGCCCTAGTCTCAATTACTGGCCGGACAGAAGGCTACCGTACGCCAAGTTGAGGTTCTTGCACGAGCCTTGCGAGGAAGAGTCAATTTGGAATCACCACTAGTCTCGGAAGCGTTGCGGCGGGTGCTGTCCATGCTTGAAGAGGATAACCATTGGTTATCCGCTTGGTTATTAACACCTTGTCTCCGAACGTCGTAAGTTACGACATGTCTGTTTTTTATGTCATAAGTTACGAAATTGAGCGCGTTGTACTAGAAAAACGTAGACACGATATTCTCATACTTTAATCAAGTTTATTTCAAGCAACCGCAACCTATAAGGTGCGAGAGGTATCTGCGACAAGCTCACAGAACCGGGTCAGAGGATGGTTTCAGGTGGGTGAAAGATTCCAGTTTGATCCAGAGCCTGGACAGTTTGGTCCAGAGTCCGGACAGTACGTCCAGAGTTGGACCAGACAGATATCCTTCAGTGAAGGATAAGTGAAGGACCTTCACCCAGCACACGAAGTTGACTTTAGACACTTTTGGCGGCAACTCAGGGTGACCGGCTAGACCTGGGGAAGCGCGCCGTGTAGCGCACGCCCGGTAAGAACGCAGGCAAGCGCAAGAAGACACGGTAGGAACTGCTTCCCCGCGAAGAAGGAAGCGATGGTGGACAATGACAGCAATGACAGTGAGCGTGTAGGTTGCGTTGCAGTTAGTCAGTGGTCAGTTTCGTGTGGTTGAATAAAAGTTTGTTGAGCCAATGCACCTTCTTTCATGTGATTTCTGATCGAATCTGCAGAACAGTGCACCTCCTCAGCCGTCTGTTGACTGCAAGTGGGGTCATTTACGACATTGAGCGGCGATTGCTCTATTTCTATGTCGTATCACTTACAACATTGGCGAGAAAACCTGATGACAATTTATACACCTATCCCGACGATAAACACATGGTCCTTACAAATATCAAGTGAATCTGTAACTCGTAACTTACGACATGCGCATACGCGTCTGAGGCGAGTACCGTTCCGAGACAATGTGTTAACCAAGCCCGAAGTTAGCCGTTATGTACACTTTGTCTTCCCGACGTGTAGTACACGTCACGGGGAGCTTCGAACTTCAATCGATTCGGCAAGACAGCCAATGCGATGCATGCAGCTACTTCGCTGTCTGCAACAAGTACAGTACCGAGCTCTTTAGACACTACGATAACCGTTTAGAGACTCTCGTAGGCGAAACTTTGGTCTGGGAGGACAGTGTAGACTTCCTTTGTGTGCAAACGTGGGGTAGGCAAGAATAATGTAACATGAAAATTGGTGGCTAGTTTTCAAACCCTGGTGTAGCACCTTCCTGGCAAAAATTGGCGAAGTTGCCGTGCAAAAGACACGCAAGAAGTTAAAGGCGCGCTCGGCCGGGGGCTTTGCGTCCGAGCGCGTTGACGTCATGCATTCCAGCTATACAAATTTACACAAGAAGGATTCGTGGGATTTAGAGCGGGGCCCAAAGCCGCAGGAAAAAGAGCGTGATTTCAATGATTTTGAGTAAATGTTAGCTTATAAGGAGAAAATGCAGCTATACTAGTTATGATTTTCCAAATAAATTTCATAAATTTAAGAACTGCTCACTACAGTGTGTGGTACACACTACGGATACAGTCGACATTCTGGGAACAACCAGCCACGAAATGTACAAATTGGTGATGTTACGGTAGCCATAATCTGTGTACTATAGTTCTTACGAACTACGAATATGCTTGGGCATAGGGTTATACTATAAACCTTTTAAAGGGCCCAGTGCATCACCGGGGGCATACCGGCGGGTGCTCATTCCCCAAGTCGCTTCCAAAAGTCCCCCACCCCACGCAGACGCGCGCACGCAAAGCAAGACCAGCGCTTCAAGGCCCCGTACACGTTTGAGATGATTGAGGAGTTCAACCAATCGCTCATGCTGTCCGCCATGAAGCCCACGGCCGATTTCGGCGAGTACGCGCGCGTCCCTAGAACTGGATGTCGTCGCGATGAACAGCTGGCGCTTGGAACGGTACTCCACCGATGGCTTTGTTTACTGTATTAGTAATACAGTAAATCAGTATTACTTGGTCGGCAAGGCGTCCAGAGTTTTAATACGGTTAGCGAGTTCCCGGATCGGATACAGGTATCGCGCACGATACACATCTTGATGAAGATCTCGAAAAACTCACTACAGTACGGGTCGCTAGCACCGATAAGTAGTGCGCTTTTCACCTACTAAACGTGGATACTAAAGGTTTTGGTTCATGTAGAATTATTAAGACCACGCGTATGCCTATGAAGATGAGCAAGGGCGTTTTATTTCTTACGAGTCTCAGTATCTTGTGACGCGATCCAACAGATATCTAGTTCTGGGCGGCATCTCTTTACACTTCCTCAGAATTATTTTGCTTCACTTCACTGCACCGTATCATAACTTTCAATATGCTCAAGACTTCGAATTTGCTCCTGCAAAATTTTAATAAGGTTCTTTCCTGATCGCAATGGTTCGTCTCGAAGGGGGTGCATTGCAGTTGCGTGACCGTTTCCGTTGCCTGCAATGCCTTTGCTTCACCAGATGCACCTTTAAATTATCGTTTCCCCCGCCTATTTCGAATCGGAAAAGCCCAAAATTCGATAACTGCGCTATTATTGCGCGCCCTATCGACTGCTGTAAGTAATACTCTTCTATAAAAAAATGGTTCACTTTGTGGACAACGGCGCAAAGGTATAAAATAGCATCAGTCGCGATCGCGTTAGTGGGAAGGAGCTCGTGTTCATCATGGTGAGTTCATCAAACTCGCTCACATCGAAGTCTGACTTATGGACTCTTTTGACGACGCAAGACAACGACTACACGTCTTCTGGCGTCGAGCTCGCAAGCTTCCGATAACATTCCAACCAAAACTTCGCGGACATTATTCATCAGAGCGTATTCGCAAGCTCTTAGCCTACAGCCAAACCACGCCGTTGTCCTGGACAATCATCGTCAGTCTGATCTCACCCTTCCCGTGTTTGGTGATCCTCATATCAATTGACGATGTTCCATTGGCTTCACCCAGAGATGGCTCCAGTGCGAAATATCTGTTTTGGGTCCGAGACTTCGTCACAATGGCTCTCATGACGAGAGTGATCCTCGAACAATTCCAAGTCACCGTGCCAGCTCTCAACCTCACATCGACTCAAGTTTGTTTGATGCCGATCATCTCGAGTGGAGGGGCTGTGGTGTTCATGATAGATATCGATGGCAAGCGTCATTGGCTTCCCTTTACCCTTTGCTCTTGTAGTGGGGATCAACGTCTGGTATTAGTGCTGGTCGCATGCTTCGTGGACTTCTTCGGCAGAGTTTTAAATCAAAACCGAGTGCTGTTAAAGTAGCTGATAAGGGCCATCATCGTGCTCATTTGCCAAGTGTTGCTGACCTTCGTATACCCAGCGTACTTGTACGGATTCATCAGCGTCAGTGCCAAAAACCAAAAAGTTCTACGTCATGCTGCTCCCAGTCATCAAAATTGCTGCGAGGAACTGAATTAGCTACTGCTTGGGCAACAACTACGAATTGATCCCTCAGGTCATGATATCTAACGTCGAAGTGTTTAACGCATTGTACGTTTCCAGCTCGATGGAGAACTCGCACTCAAGCACTACGGTGGTGCAGTGGTTGCGTTGGACATTCTCCTCGGGCTTGTATCATTATTGGATATTCGGCATCTCAGTAACGCGATCCTTTTTCTGCGTCGAAAAATCCCCGCTGACCACCCTCTAAAAGCCGCAAGCTTCATTGAGATCGCTCTAAGATGATCCGAGAGCGAGATCCAGACTTTCGTTGCTGCGTTACGGTCCATTGGCAAAGTCGACGACATATCTAAGCGCCTTCAATCTGAATACCTTAAGCACCCTTCGACAAGTGAATATCCCATCAAGAGACCGAAAGCTGATTCCAGTTGAGCCCGTACGCCACTCACTCCCTACAGCAGACCTGTACAAAAGGTGAAGAGTCTCTCGTTGGAGTTGATTCCAACCGAGACACCGTTGATGAAGATTTTCTCCAACAAGGAGCGCCAGTGGTTTCTGGAACGCAGCGCAAGCGCGCTCTTTACCGCGGAGTTTGTGATTCTGGTCTTGTATACGAAAATCATCATCCCGCTGATCTATTGTGCGTTGCATTGGTGATTCCTGGAATTCATATGAATACTTTATTGGCATGAGCACCAGCAGGTTCGGGTCGGTGAGGACGTCGTCCAGCTTGCCATTGAGCTTGAGCGCTTGGAAGACGTCGTCTGTGGACATTCGTACACCCTTCCGTACTCAAGCTGTTGGGTCTGCAGACTGCTTGTACGAGTCCGGGGACTTTGTCGCAGCTTCGAGCGTCTTGGCTACGACGTCGTTGCCATAGGTCTTGGTCAAAGTTGGGATCACCGTCTTCGCCTTCTCCGGGTACTTGAGGTCGTACTGACTCACGTACTTGGCCCATGCGAGGAACTTGGGGCTCTCGAACAGCTTCTCGGCCGGCACAGCTTCATCTTGGCAAAGATATCGTCTGCGACCTTTCCCTTCTTCAGCCAACTCGCGGTCTTCTGCTTGTCGACGAAGTTTGTGATCTTCTTGAGACCAGGAATCGCGTTGATGCCGAACGCTCTCTCCTCGCTCTCGTCGTTATTACTTTTATCGCCCCTGAGGCTTTTGGTGGGGACGGTATCCACAGAAGTCGAATAAGCCACAGCCGTGGTGGAAACTTTCGAGTCCGTCACCGTCGAGGCAGCATCGACCTTTGTGAGGAGGAAAAAAACGCCGCAAAGCAATGCGAAGCACAGGAAACGCATTGGATTGTCGTGTTAGTTAGGCACTTGTTTCTAAATTGACAACAAGGCTCTGGACGAACCAATTTGCTGAATGTTGCCCAACCGACTGCATGCGTAAATTTGTTGACGGCACTTTACATCTTCACCTGATGATGATGAAGGCCCTTTAGAGTTAGAGTGCTGTTCCTTTTGATACTGTACTACACTGTAGTCCGTTTACTTTTTATGTGCACAGGGATCTGTGCAGTATTTGCAAAGTGTATATGAAGTTGAAGCTTTCCGGTTAAGCTAAGGTATAGAGCGCTGTTCCCTTGGGTTTCCATACACAAATTTATTGTGCACGCAGATCCGTATTTCCATTAAATGTGAAATTTTCATACTGTATAGTAATGCAGATACGTCTCCTTGATCGTTCAAGTTGATAGTGCAGCACTTCGCATGAGTGCGATCTACTACGAAGTACTAGGCTACAGGAAATACCAACACGTTTTAAAAGCCTTCCCAGCCAACCTTTAACCAGGAATAACATGGGAGAACGAGGTTCGAGGCGGGGGCGAGTTCCCACTTCTGCTGCTGTTGCCATTGCCGTGGGGCTGTGTACCCGAAATGCGGGACCTCATAATGGACCCGAAGCGCTTGACTTGCCGATACTTGAGCATCGCCACTCCCCCGTAACCCGTTCGAGCCGTGAATGCTGCGGTCGCTTGCAGGTAACTGTGAAGCGTGTCAAGTTTGTCCTCTAGTGAGACGAGTGGCTGCGGGGTGAAGCCGCCGTTCTCCTCCGTCCGGTCCTTCTTCTTGTCGGGCATGGGGGCGCCCATGCGAGCGCAGATGAAGTTGTGAAGGCGACGAGCGTCGTCACGCTCTTGCTCCCAAATAGGCTTGGGGGGCTCCACCACGAGCGACAACCGCCTCGAGCGCGTCGGAGACGACGTAGTCGACGATACTCCAGTCAAGGATGGAGCGCGCTTCTCGCGCTTGTTGGCTTCCACTTGTACGAACCAGTCGTGCGCGTGCTCGAGGTAGATCCACTTGCCCACGGGAAAGATGCACAACATGGCGCTATTAACTAGCTGAGAGGCCTTGATGTTCATGGCGAAGGTCACCGCCTCCATTTCAGAGGAAAAGAGTGCGTGCACGGCCACAAACGGCTCCTCGTACTGCGCATGGGCCGCCTCAAGCTTTGACAGCACCACACTCGCAACCGCAAAGGTGCATCGAGCAGTGCTGGTACCTGAATTGAAAGTTTTCCTTCGAGGTGACATGGGCGGTCGTGGTTGATCGGCCAGGCAGAGATGGTCGAGGTTCATTATTGTTCGACGCGCTAGGAACCGGAGACATCGCCACTTCTTGGAATGAGGCGAAGTGTACACTTCCGTCTCCTGGAGTTGAGTGGAGCGAGATCGTGGACTCCTCCACGAGCGGGCTGCACGTAGACATCGATCTCATCCGTGGACTACTGCCACTCATTTCTGCCACTTGCTGTAGCTAGAGTCGCTCCTCGTCAACTTTCGATCGATCGGCTCGCGGCATCAGCGCGTACGTCTTGAGCGGTAAAGCGAAGTACTTGAGGTTCGTCACTCCCGTGCTCTCCTGGAACCTCTCGGCTGCTTCACGAATCGCAAAGAGAGATCTAGCGGACTGCAGAATCTGAAAAGCTGGAGACTTCTTGGGCGCAAACGTCGCCTCTGATCGCTCCTCGCTACTCTCGTCTAGGATGACAAAGACCGCATAATCTGTCTCACTCGTACTTTCGGTCTGTGCAGTGAAGCGGGACGGTGAATACGCCTTCAATGGGGAGGCGGAGGGTTTCGCGTTGGTGAAGTGGAGGTGGCCTTGCGCTGTTGTACTCTTCCGTTTCGAACATCGGGGGCTTGTGGTTTGCTTCCTGGAGGACGAGAGAAGATGAAGTTTTCTTGCAGAAGCTGACTCAAGGCTTGTGACGTAATGGTCAAGCTTTGGTTCGAGTTTCGTACACTCGGAGACGGCTGGCGCAGCGGTGATACCGAGAAGATCGAGAGGACCGACAGGTTTCCGGTGCTTGTTCGTCGCCAATGCTCTGCTCAACCTCCTCCAGGTGCTTTGCCGTGCGATTCCACGTCGTACCAATCTGCTTCTCGACCACTTTGATGTCGAAAAATGCTAGCGAGTTGCCCTCCTTCAGCACTTCAGCTTGTCGACGCTCCTCGGCCGCCAAGACACCGTCTAGCTGTCGCTGTCGAGCGGCACTGGGTGGTGTGTCCACGTTGAAGGATGTGACGTAGTTGCCGAGTGTTTGGTCTGGATTGAAACACTTCTTCATGGCCTTAGTCTCTTGAGCCAGCAGCAGCAACTCGTTCGCTGGGACCAGGGCTTGCCTCGCTGTATTATTGCTCGAAGCCATACTGCGAGAAGTATCGGGAGATTTATCCTCGCTCACAGGAGGAAGAGGAATTCGAGGGAGCGTCGCCCCTCCTGAGGGTTGAGATACTTTCTCCGACTCGGTCGTCTTTGAAGTCCGCCTCGGCTCCGTCGTTTGGGCAGCTGCAGCTTGCTGTGTCTGCGAGATCTTTGCGGTAGTTCCGGTAGAGGGTTCTTTAGTTGCACCGCGGCGCGTTGCCGCCGCAGCAGACGGCAAAAGCTTCTCAATGCGTTCGTGGTTTACATGTTCTCGGAGCACCTTCTGCTTGTACGCTTCCCACTTTTGCGTCTTGTGGAATCGATCAATGTACACGATGCTCTCCGCGTGCGACTGGGCTGCAGCGCGCAAGGTGTCTCGAGCCGATCGCGACAGACGATTGAAGACGTCGTACTTTGACAGAAGCAGCACCTCTACTGGAGTACTCGCGCTCACGGTCAGTTCACAATGAATCACCTCGTTGAAATTCGCCCCCGCAGCGCTACAGTTAACGCACAACCCCCGCCAATTAGCACACAACGTGTAGATAGTAGTGTCAAACGTACTACGTACGCGTCATCGCCGACCACCCGGAAGCGACCGATACGCTCAACGAACACCTCGTGTCTCACTTGGGTAAACGGATCTGCGATTTCCTTCGTGCGACGCCATCGATGCTGCCGCCAATGGCAGCTACGACGCGGTGCAATGGGCGCGCGACCACGGAGTCCTCTCAACTAAGTCGGACCGAATCACGGAACGGGGACGCAACCCACGAGACGGCTATAACTTCCCGGTGCCGGAGGCTAACCGCGAGAGCCACGTCTTCTACGTTGTGCGCGCCGCCGCAGTCAACCGACACCCGGAGATCGTGGAGCTGCTGCTGCCGGACCTAAGGCTGGTGGAGGACTATTCTGACCTGCTGCTGAGGTCGACGCGCAGCAATACGCCGCTGCTGACGGAGCTGATTCTCGAGAGGTGCGAGGTTAATAGGTAAGGCGCTGTGCGTGGCCGTCAGCCATGAAGACCTGTGGCACGTGA